TCCTTTATTATTTGTTCAAATAAGTTTTCAATTTCTTGCTCTTCCTCTTCTCCATCTGGCACCCCTATGATTCAGGTGTTGGAATGTTTAAAGTTGTCCCACAGGTTCCTCAGCCTCTCCTCATTTTTTCCAATTCTTATTTCTTCATTGTGTTCTGGCCGAATGTTTATGTCTTCCTTCTTCCTTCCGAATGGTTATGCCCCAACCATTGATTTGAGTCCCGGTTTCCTTCCCATCACTACTGGTTCCCTGTGCACTTGCCTTTATTTCACTTTTCCTAGCCTTCACTTTTTCCTCTATTTTGCAACCATACTCAACGGATTCTGTGAGCATCCTGATGACCGGTGTTTTGAACTCTGCAGCTGATAGGTTGGCTATCTCTGTATCCCTTAGTTGTATTTTTTCTTGAGGTTTGACCTGTTCTTTCATTTGGGCCATTTTTTTTTTTTTTAATCTCAGAGCACTTGTTACATAGCATCATGGCAGAGCCTTAGGCATTCACCAGGGCAAGGCAACCCAGGTCCCTGCATTGTGGTGCTGTATGTGGGGGACAGGTTTAAGAGGGAACAGAACAGTGTCACTTGCTCAGCTCTCCCTGGCTTTTAATCACTTCCTCCTCTACCCACAAGCAAATGGGTCCTTCTGGTGCTGATTCCCGGGTGGGTGGGCTTGTGTATGTTCTAGGACCCTGTGGGTCTCTCCAACAAACTCCCCTGTGAGGCTGGGAGTCTCTCCCTCTGCCACAACCCCCACAGGTGTTTCCAGTCAGAGGTTTTGAGGCTTTATTTCCCCACGCTGGAACCCTGGGTTGCGTGGTCTGTCTCGCTCCCTGGTTGTTCCTCCCGGTTTATCCGTTTGCAAATGTGGGACCGCTCACCCCGCCAGCCGCCTTCTTGCCCGGCCCGCCCGCTGCCACCTGCCCACCCCAGCTCTCCAGCCACCGCCTGGCCGCCAGCCCTCTCCACCCCTGGCTGCCCATGTCCACCCCTCCCACTGGTCTGGATGAGTGTCTCTGCTTCAGTTCCTCGGTTGTCGGACTTCCACGCAGTTTGCCTTTCTGGCAGTTGCGGTTGTGTTTTGTTTTTAAACCTTGTTGGCGTCCTTCTTTTGGTTGTGCGAGGAGGCCCAGCGTGTGTCTCTACATTAAACCTCCACCTTGGCTGCAAGCGAGAACTGCTTCTGATTTTTAAACTCCAGTTTCTAGAGTGAGTGGTGCAGGGTTTGGTTTTCTGTGTGAGGTTGGCGATGGGTGTGTGTTTCTGGGAATCTGCCGTGAGTTAAGTGCGCAGGTTTGTGGATGGATGGATCCATGACCCTAAGCCCACTTGGGATGCACAGGCCCCCTAGCCGGAACTGTGGGGTCCCCACCAAACACAGCCCTGGTGCCCCACGCAAGGCCTTTCTGGGTCCCTTGCTGGGCGCTGGGGAGCATGAGTTGGGTCTGGACACTAGTCTGTACCTGAAGGTCTAAGGTAACTGGAGAAGCGAGGCCAAGGTGGTGAGGACGGGCTGTTCCCTTTCCAGGAAACATCTCTGGAGAGTTGGGCGCGCTGAGGGTCCAGGGGGGTGGGGCCTGGCGCCGGTCAAGGGTGACTGGTTCTTCTTGAGTGTCCATGAAAGGCATTCGCGTCATCCCCCCCGAGCGGAGCAGAGGCTCCAGAAGTCAGACACCACCACCCTAGCTTATCAGGAATTCCTAACAGATCAGACACTCAGGCGTCCACCACGGGGCCCGTCTGGTGACGGGGGAGAAGCCAGGAGCTGATGCGGGCAGAGCGACTGCCGGTACGTGCCCCGATGTACTTGACTTTGTCCTTGCCTGGAAGGTGTTCCTGTGCCGGAGTGACGACACCCAAGGACCCCGGCGCATCCAAGGACGGTGGAAGCAAGGCCCTGGGTCCGGCAAAGGCCTAAGCAGAGTCCCCCCCCCACCAACACACACACACACACACACAGGAGGCTTTCTGTACGTGGTGCTGGCCAATCCCCGCTGAAGTCCCAGGCCTCAGGCCGGGGCCCAGCTACCTCCGCCGGCTCGCTGAGGCCGAACCCTAAGTGAGCCTCCCCCTGCTACTCAACCTGCGGTCTGACATCTCCTGGCCCGGCCAGGCCCACATGCCAGGGGATCCCTACGTTCCGGGGGGGGTCTCCTTCCGGAGGTCTGGGGACGACCTCTTCCCAAGTGCGGCAGAAGGCAGTCTGTGACTTCCTACTACCTGCTCACCTGAGTGCGTAGCAGCCCACGTAGGTGTAGCTGACACAGAATACGTACAGGTGCGGTTTTAGGCTGATCACTGTCGTGTCTGGGAAGGCAGCTGAACACTCTTGAAAATATATGCATGAGAATACGTAATAGACTATGTTAGAGTATATGTAATATGTATTAGACTGCATATGAAAAGCAGAATATATAACATATGCAACATCTAATATATATATATATTAGCAGTCATATATATATATATATAAGTTGTCAGGTCTATGAACCCACCTCAGCAGTTCTTTTAAAACATATGTTTCAGAATATACAGTAAACAATATTATATTATGAACTATACTAGAATGTATTAGACAACCCTGACAACATAATATATAATATATATAATATCTAATATCCCACATATAACTTGTAGTATGTGTGAAGCCAGCTTAACAATTCCTTTATAAGATATGAGAATATTCAATAAAATAGAATATATAGTATAAATATATATATATATATATATTATACTCTGTTACAGAGCATTTCAAGTGTAGTACAATCCATGGGAACTTTAAAAATCTGTGAAGACGGCTGAAAACGTCTCTCATTCTCGTACACGCATGAGAAGTCGTAGACTATGGAGTGAAATGTAGTAGAATCTATGGAATAGGACGTACTAGAATAAAATGCTATACCACCTAGGAACTCTGAAGTCTCTGAAGGTCCCTCACTGGACACTTCTTTGTCACTTTAACTCAGTGTATAGACACACCTAGGCATGTGTATTTGTCCACATGTGGGCACACGCGTTCATACATGTGCACAAATGTCTGTGTGTACATATACCATACACCCGGAAAGAAGCGCCCTCATAGGCTGTTTTTATTGCCCTTGAGTTCGATAGCCGAGGGCCGGGAGTTGTCTTGGGGGTTCTCGCGCTCGCCACTGCAAAGGCGGGCATGGCGCTGGGTCACCTGCCTCGCGCCGCCGGGGTTTTGGGTCTCCCCAGGGCCACGGCCGTGTTTTCTGGGCAATGCAGGCCGTCCTCGCAGAGGGAAACAGCTGTGGGGGGGAGGGGGAGGCAGCCAGGCCTTGGGAAACCCCGCCCGGGACCTTTCTGGGGAACGGAGGAAAGTCAGGTGGTCAGACCCGAGGGTGGGAGCGGAAGGGGTCGCGGCCGCTGTGCGGCCCAGGATTTGATGCTGGCGTTTTCTGGCTGGGTGCGAGGTGGAGGCAGGGCAAGGCGCGACCTCAACTCGGCGCGGAATCCCCCGGACCTTGGGCACCGCCGCCCATCAGCCCCCAGCTCCGCAGTCCCAACATAGAATCCACGTGGAGAGGGCGCAGCGCTCCGTGGGGAGACCTGGTGTCCCCAAGACTTGGGTGTCCCCAAGCCCCTTGGGACGGATGGGGTCTTTTGGCCCAGGCGCGGGGTCCCCTCATTCGGGTCCCCAGGCTGGGGCGCACGGGTACGCACGGCCCACTCCCGGCGCGCATTTTTCGAATTCCAGCTGCAGATTTGGCAACCGGCGAGGAGAGAGCAGGCTATCCCGCCCCGCGACAATGCCACCCACGGAGCGCCCCTGAGGGGGCGGGGCCAGGCTGGCAGCGGCGGCCAGAAAAACCACACCCAGAGCCGGTTCCGGTTTCCGTCGCCCCCTCCCCGCCAGCCACCGGGCTCGAGCTGGTGAAGGTTTCTGTTTTCAATGTGTCCCTCGCCTCTCCAAGAAAACCTTCCCCCAACCCACGGTCACAGTCGCCGAGACCCCTGCAAACAAAGTGGCAGGCACGGGGCCCCGGTTCAGCTCACGGTGGCTTCCGCGGGCCGGCCCCTGGGGCAGCCAGCCCGGGGCCTGCTTAGCACCGAGGCGTTCAGGCCTCGCTGGGCCAGCGGAAGCCGGCGTGCGTTTTAACCACATGCCCCGGGGGTGGGGGATAGTGGCCACTGAAAACTCGGGACCTCCACGGACATTATAATCTCCGAAGCGCACTAGCCACTTTGCAGCGCATCTAAATCTCTCCGTCCGGCCTGCGGACCCACCAGGAAGAGACTGCTTTTCCGAGTGTCCCCGGTGCGTCTGGGGCCGCGGCCCTTGCAGTCGCACGCGCCGCCCGCCCTTGTTGTGTCTCTGAAATCGGTTACCCTTAGTGTTGTTATTTTCACGATTTTTTTTTGTTTTGTTTTGGAAATCGTTATGGGGTGCGAGGAAGCTGCCCAGAAACGTCCCCGAGGCCCGTGGCACCCCGCGCCCGCGACACCCCCAGCGTCCCGCCCGGCTCCAGGCCCACAGCCACGCCGCCAGGAAGTGGCCCCAGCGGGCGGCGGCACCTCCGTGGGGACTTGGGGACCCGGCGCAGCCCGCCAACCCTCCCATCCGCCTGTAACCGCTCGTTCAGTTTTATTTTTTTAACTTTGTACTTCGGTCTGCACCACGGTCCCCGCGTCCCCAGCGGGGCCCACCTCCAACTTTCCGGGATGCGGCCTAGCGATCTCTGTGGCCAACCTCTCGCATCTCCCTCCCGGGGGAGCTCGGCAGGCACCCCACCCTGGGGTGGCCCAGGGTGCAGAGGGGTGTGGGTACCTCCCCAAAGCGGCCAGCCCCGCTGTGGGGCGACCAGCCACCCCCCCCCACCCCCGCCCCACGCCCCGCCTCACGGTTCCTGGGCGGGGACTGGGCGGGGGCGGAGCGAGCCGGCCACCTCGAGAGACCCCGCCCCGCAGGCGGGGGTCCCCCCTCGGAGGGCGGGGAGAGCGCGCGGCCCCGCCCTGCCCGCTTCCGCCCGACTACCTTTTTTATCACGCACTCCGCGCCCCTGGCACCAGTAGTGGCAGCGTCGGGACACGAGGAATGAACGCGGACCTCGGCTCCGGCAGCCGGGACCCTGCTCCGACTCCGCGCAGCCCCGCCGCGTCCCACTCCCAAGCCGCGCCGCCCGGCCCGCCGCCGCCGCCGGCGCCCGGCCCGCGGTGCCCGCCGGCCGAAGCCGCCGACTACTCCCGCCAGCTGCTGCTGCTGCTGCTGCTGCTGCTGCTGCTGCTGCAGTGAACGCCGCCCCGTGCCGCGCCATTGTCCCCACCGCCCTGCCCGCGAAGCCGCGCCGATCGGGGAGGCTAGGGGCGCGCATGGGTGGGCGCAGCTGATGCCAGTGCCGCTGCGCCGCACTCCGAGGCTGCGTCCCAGGAAGTCCGGCTCTCCTCTCCCCCCAGTCCGGCGAGGCTCCCCGCCCTGCAGCGCGACCCCATGGAGGCGCCCGAGCCGGCCAAAGCGGCCGCGGTAGACCCCGACCCTCCCCAGAGTCCGGGAGAGGCTCCCGATAAGGCGCCCGCTCAGGGGCCCGGCTCTGACACCCCCGCCTCCGAGTCGCCCGCCTACCGCCTGCAAGACTTCGACACGCTGGCCACCGTGGGTGAGTGCGAGACGTGGGGACCTGGCCCGCTGGGGCGCTCGGCGCCGCCCGGGATGCGGGCGTCACACAAAGCTCCCGGAGCGTCGACCCCCGGCTGTCTCCCGTGGAGCTCGCCGCCTGGTCCCGCCTGCTCCGGCGCCCTCGGTCCCACAGACGCCCGGAGAGTTGGAGTGAGTCCCCCCGGTCCCCCCCGAGTACCTCCCTAAGCTGCCAGCGCCCCACCTGGCGCCTGCAAAGGCGCCGTATTTTTATACCTGCCGCCACTAAACCGCTCGGGTGCCGGCGCTCCCTGACGTCACGAAAGTTCCTGGAGCTGACCTCCCATTGGGGACCTCAGGCGCCCTCCCCGGCGGGGACCCCCAGGGGAAGAGGAGGCCACTGGGGAGGTGGACCAGCGCGCCTCCGCCCGGTGGTGGGAGGCAGCACCTAAGGTGGGCCTTGGAACGAATCGCTTTGGGCACAGGTGTCCCGCCGCCGCGCTGTGGGGTTGGGACGTGGGGGGTGGATTACACGTTTCCTGACCCCGCTGTGGCTTTTCATCCCCTGCCTCCGCAACTGGCCGTCCTTCCACCAGACGCTGCTTTCCTTCTCTCACCTCTGTCTCTTCCCATGGGATCCCCCACCCACCCCACCCCACCTGGGCCACTGGGAATGTCACTTTCCTGTTTCCTCGGTGGCGCCTGGATCCCGAAGACGCGCCTGGCATATGGGTCCGGCCGGACTGGGTCGAAAGATGCCCAGCCTTGCGAGGTAGTCAGTTGAACTGTGCGCGCACGAGCTCGCGGGTGGCCACTTGGCCAAGGGGGTGCCGAGGAGTTGCGCCGGCCTGTCGTTTATGGACGGGTGAGGGGGGCCATGCTGAGAGTCACCCGTGAGGTGCAGGGGTGCTTAAGAAGTTTCTTCCCGCTCCCCCAAATTTGGAAAAGGGGAGCGGACTAGGGTGAGGTCAAGGTCATGAGGTCCAGAGCCAGAATGACAGTGAGAGCCCCAGGGGCGAGGGGACTTCTCCTCTCCAAGTGCAGCCGGCTGTGAGGACGGCATCAGCAGGCACCCTGATGTGGGGCGGAGGGCGTGGGAGGGGGCCCCCTCTCTCCCCACCCCCCCGTATCTATTTATCTACCTGCGGGGAAGGCATGTCACAGAGGTGCCCGTGCTTTCAGGGACATGTAGTGCCGTATGGGGACATTTCTGGTCGTCACAGCTGGGGAGGCGGTGCTCCTGCTGCCACCTGGTGGGTGGAGACGGGGTGGGGGGCTGCTCCACACCCTCCCACACGGGGCCCAGGACACCCCACGTGTGAGCGGCCGGCAGCCCCCCGAGTCAGGCTGCCAGGCTGAGCGCGAGAGGCTCCGACTTCAGCCAGAGACACTCTCATCTTTCTCTTTCGGCCTCTTTCCTCCTCGCCTCCATCTGTGCATCTACTTACCTGTGTACCTGGGTACCTGCCTGTGAATCCGTGCCCCTGCCCACCCACCCATCCATCCCTCCATCCATCATCCATTTATCACCCATCTAACGATACCTGCCGTGTATCCACCCGTCCTTCTTTCTCCGCCTTCCTGCCTTTTCTCTCTTTTCCTATGTGTGCCTCTCCTTTTCCCTTCTTCCTCCTCCTCTTCCTCTTCTTCCCATTCTTCTCCCTCCCTCTCCCTCTCGCTCTCTCCTCCCTCAAACTCTGGTCGTTTCTGCGCCCATGTGTTCAGCACTTGTCCACGACGGGACCGGGGACCCAGGCTCCGGGGAGTCCCGCAGGAGGTGGAGAGCAGGTGAACAATGGAAACTTGCTGGCCACGCCCCGCCACCCCTGGGCACCTGGTCCCGCCCTTGTGCTCCTTTCGGGCACGCACTTGGGTCTGTGGGGGCAGCCGCGGGGGCTGGAGGCCAGGGCGCCGAGCCGGGGCCCGGCAGGCGGGTGGGCTGCAGACGTGACCTCGTCTGGTGCCCCGTGGGCGCTGCCAAGTGGGCATAGGTGCCCAGTGAGTCATGTCCTTAAACACAAAATGTCACCACCGCCTGTGGGGACCCACCGGCTGGCCAGCCGGGGCCGGGAAGGGCGCTGTTTCATTCTTTCCCCTTGGCTTGTCTCAGTGGAGACGGTGGTTGCGCGTCCAGGGCGACTCCTTGTGGCCCGCGCGGGCCTGGAGGCCGAGGCCGGTTGTCACTGTTTCCGGCAGTGGACACGCAGGGGACAGGAACCCAGACCTGTGTGTGCACGGCCCTCTTCCAAGCTCCTGACACTCTCGGCGACCTGTGACCTGAACTCCTCTCTTGAATATTGGTCACAGATTCATCTGAACACGACGCATGCAAGAGATTAAGAGTAAGCGTAAAAAGAAAAAAAATCACAAGCCGTCCCCAACGCGTCGGAATTGGGTGTCCCCGAGTCACCCTGTGGGGCACCCTCAGCTCGCTGCAGACGGTGCGGACGGCCCTGTATCTGTAGTGTGAAAGCAGTCACGACGGGCGCGCACGCTCTGCCGCCAGCGTTTGCACTCTCGGGAGAGTGACCGGGTTCCCACCTGCCCCTGGGTCCCGTCCCTGAGCGCCTGCCCGCCCCACACAGGCGCCCACAGGGGCTCTGAGTTTTCTCCTCAGGGTGTCTGTCCGCACTTCTCCTGCTGACCGAGGTGACTGTCTGTCATGTGCCTGATGCCGTCCCCCCCGCCCCCCGCCCGCTCCTAGGACCAGGCACAGTGGGAAGGCACAGCTCAGCTCAGGCTGCTGTCTGCGGGCTGTTCGGAGTCTGTGCCCCCCACTCGCGTCCCTGCCCCTTTGGTCTGGTCTCTCCCCGTGTGGGCGACGGGTTCCTTTCGTCCCCCTCATACTCGTGTGTTTTTGACCCCTTTGTTTTTGCCCGTGAGCTTGGCATGGGGGTGGGGAGGGGTCCCCCACCCTGGGGCCGGAATCGCTGACTCCCAATCCATGCGGCAGGGCTGAGAGGACATTGATGTCTCAGGGCACGTAGCTGTGAGGACGGCGGGACCCTCCGGGAGGTACCACCAGCCCGAGATCCAGCTGGGAGTTGACAGCGGTGTTGGCACCAGGGGCCCCCACGCCCGGGGGCGGAATGAGGACACGTATGACATCACGGGCTGCCCCGTGTCCTCCTCCACGTGCGTTAGGTTAGGCGTGTGGGCCGCTGTCGGCATTCCAGACGGACCCCTGGTCCGCGCATTCAGCATCTCCTGGGAGAACACAGTGTGTGTTGGTGCGCAATCTCATGGTGCGATGTTTTCTGAAAGCCCCGGGAGGACTCGGCGGTCTATCTCAGCTAAACCGGGATTTCACAGACGGACGCGTGCGGACTCCAGGCAGCCACACGGCTCACTAGAGAGGAAATGGTTCCCCCTTCCTCCTTGTGCATGGCCGTAGGTGCTGGTCAAACACACACGTGTGTGTATATATATATATTTATAGTGGCATCATTATAACCTCCAAGAGGATTCCAAAAGCTCTATGCAGAGCCCCAGCCCTCCCCCCATGCGGACACGGCGACATCGCTTGTGGCTGTAGCACAATATGGGAACCTAGATGGCAGCGTGGGTCACATCCTCTCAGAGACGAGAGACCCTGCCCGCTGCTCCCAGCTCCTAGGGGGTCTCCTTCGTGTTTCCAAGGCTGGGCGCCTGTGTGTTGCTAGACAGGGCGTCCATTCAGACACCCCCGCCCCCAAGGTCAAGGCACACAAGTCATTGCTTCCTCACCAACCACCCCTGAATGCTTCCTGCTTTCATTTCTTTTCTTTTTTAAATATTATTCTTTCTCTTTTTTAAAGATTTTATTTATTTATTTTTAGAGAGGGAAAGGAGGGAGGGAGAAAGAGAGAGAGAGAAACATCCATGTGCAGTTGCTGGGGGCCGTGGCCTGCAACCCAGGCATGTGCCCTGACTGGGAATCGAACCTGCGACGCTTTGGTTCGCAGCCCGTGCTCCATCCACGGAGCTACGCCAGCCAGGGCCCTGCTTTCATTCCTTTACTGTATCCCATCACGAGACGACAAGCCTGTGTTTCGTTACAGCCTGGGAGACATTCCCTCATGCGTCAGCCATGACAAAGTTCTCTCCCAAGCACGGACAGGCGTTTTCCAGCGGACTCACAGCGCTTTCTCCTCTGACCTTGGTTTCCTGGAATTGGCCCCACTGTCTCTGCTTTCGGCCCGGGCTGTCCTGTACCCCTGCACTGTCGCCCCCCAGCACCCCTCAGCACCCCTCAGCACCCCTCCAGACCAAGAGCCATCGGGTCCAGTGAGATGGTGCTGTGCCAGGGAAGGGGCAGCCACCAGGGTGGAGTTGCCATCGCAATCCGAAGTGTTTATTGCTCGGCCACACGTAAGAGTATTGCTTTCACCCTTTAAGGCTCTTCGCCTTGGGAGGGCGCTCTAGAGCACGCCGTGCAGCAGACGTGGACGATGGCGCCGACATCGCACCGCCCCGGGAAAGTTAGAAATTAGCTAAAAGATGAGGAAAGGACACTAACAAGTCCAGAAGTCTGGCAGGTAGTTGTTCCTCCTTTTAAAATATATATATATATATATTATTTTTAGAGAGAGGAGAGGGGAGCAAGAGAGGGTCAAATTGCGTGGTTGGCTCTCATGCGCCCCCTCCTGGGCACCCGGCCTGCGACCCAGGCCTGTGCCCTGGCTGGAGGTAGGCAGCCACCGGCCCAGGGACGCCTGGAGCCCAACCCCCGCCCCCAGGAGCTGGAAGAGGCGGGAAGGCCCCGCCCTGGAGCCTGTGGAGGGAGCGCAGCCCTGGGGTCACCTGGACCTCACACGCCTGGTCTCCAGGAAAGGGGCGCAGCGAAAGCAGGAAACCTTGGGGTTCTTCTGAGGAGGCGTCCGTGACTCCCTGCATGAGGCAGGTGTTCAGGGTGAGACGGAGACCACCAAGAACTTGGTGTTCCCGCCCCCTGGACCCCGGCAGAGAACGGTCCCTACACACAGTGTGCGGCTCCCCCCGATCCCACCCGTGAGCATAGGGGACAGCCCGCATCCCACCTGG